ATGGGAGCTATATCCAAATCTGAACCGATCTCGATAAAATTTAGCAAATGTATTTCTGAGCTGTATTTGATATATTTCCCCAAATATTGTTGTTGCATAGTGCATATTACGGTGGCGGTGGACAAAAATAACAAATCGGATGAACAATATATATGGGAGCTATAGCTATATCTGAACCGATTTCGATCAAATTTGGCATACATATTTTCAGGCCTAATATGGGTGTATGTGCAAAATTCCATACAATTCGGGCTGATATTACACGTTTGGTGCACAATAAAAGTCAAATCGGACGAAGATATATATGGGAGCTATATCCAAATTTTGACCGATTATCTCCAATTTCAATAGGGTTCGTCCTTAGGCCAAACAAAAGACCTTTGCAAAATTTCATCTGGATCGGGCAATAAATGCGACCTGTACTTTGTTTACAAAAATACATGGACAGACGGACGGACGGACGGACGGACGGACAGACGGACGGACGGACGGACAGACGGACGGACGGACATGCATAAATCGACTCAGAATGTGATTCTATGCAGATCATCAAAAGGAACTATGGGTCTATCTCGTTTCCTTCTGCCTGTTACAAACAAATGCACAAAGACATAATACCCTGACCACCTTGTGGTGTAGGGTATAAAAACAATAATAATAGCAATAACAATAACAAACAATAAATACTTGATGTGACAAAGTATTTGTGAGAGGATTCTGTAAAATTTCAGTTTTATTTTTTCTGTAAATATTTCCAAAAAACCAAAATGCAAAAAAAATATGTTTTTGTTAAATTCTTTTTCTCTTTCTCGCTCTCTCTTAACAATTTTTATGTTGTTTAAGCTATTTGCCATGTTCAACGTTATAAAAAATAACAGAAAAAAAATTAATTAATGAAAATAATTTTTTAGTACAAGCACGAAAATAAGCAAAAAAATATTTTAAAAAAAATCAAAAAACATGCCACAAAACGCACCCAAGCTTAACCAAAGAAGAATAACAAAAAAAAAAACAAAAGCAAACACCACAAAGCAAATGCAAAACAACACCTGAAACTGTTCAACACCCACTCTCTCGATGTGTGTGTGCGTGCGTGCGTGCGTACGTGTGTGCATATTTGTGTCTATAAATGTTTTTTACCATTCCGTTGGCCTTCCACCATTACGAACCAGCCAACCAAAAATCACCTTCACCCCAAAAACTATTCGCTGTGAACAATTTGTGAATTGATCAAAGGATTGATTACGTATTTGTTGTAATGATGAGTTTTTAAGTTTTTATTATTTTTTTTCTGAAATTATTATTTTGATTTAGAAATTCCGTTGCAGTTAGTTTTCATTTTTTTTTCAAGTATTTTCATTATGAAAGTTGTTAAGTATTAGAAAAAAAAATAATTTAAAGCAGATGTATTATTGGAGTGGAGAAAATGCCGCGAGGCATTGGAAAGGAAAAAAATATTTTTTTTTATTTTTTTTTTATAATTTTGTTATGAATCAGGGCTGTGGAATTGGTTTTGGATTCAATGAATTTAAAAGATGAAAGTGTTCCTTGGATTACAAAAAAAAAATATTTGAGTAGACCGTCTTGAAAAAAAGGTCTCATACAGGTCTACTATAAAAAGAAGTTCTCCTACATGCTTTCTGGGGATGGAAACCCTCCTACAGGTCTTCTAGAAACAGAAGTCACCCTACATGTCTCCTTGGAATGAAAGACCTCCTAGAGGTCTTCTAGAAAAAGAAGTCCCCCTACATGTCTTCTTGGGATGGAAGACCTCCTACAGGTCTTCTAGAAACAGATGTCCCATTACATGTCTACAGGCCTTTGAAAAAAGGAGACGCCCTATTTATCTTTTAGGACTACAAGAATTCTTTCAGGTCTTTTGGAAAAAGCAGATCTCCTACAGATTTACTAGAATAGAATAGAATATCTCTTACAGATCTCCTAAGGATTGAAGGCCTCCTTGAGGAGAACAGGTCTTCTGGGGAAAGAAGATCTCATACTGGTTTACTAGGGACAGAGGAGGCCCTCTAGGGCTCTATTTACAAAAGAACAGAAAACCACCTACAGATCTCCAGGGATAGAAGACCTCTTAAGATGGTAAATTAATAGGAGACTATCTAGGGAACATCTATGACTAAAATTATCCTTAGAGGTCAGCTGTGGTCTTCTAGAGCAGACCATAAATAGAAAATTTCTTACAGGTCATCTATGTATAGAAGACCTCCTAGAGTTTATCTATGAATAGACCTCTGACCTCTGATAACCTCTGGTCATCTCTTAATAGAAGACCTCCTAGAGGTCATCCCTTAATAGAGGACCTCCTAGAGGTCATCCCTTAATAAAAGACCTGCTAGAGGTCATCTATGAATAGATGACCTTCTTGTGGTCATCTATGAATGGAAGACCTCCTAAAGGTCAACTATAAATGGAAGTTCTCCAAGATGTCATCTATGAATAGAAGACCTCCCAGAGGTCATCTATTAATAGAAGACATTCCAGAAGTCATTTATGAATAGAAGACATCCCAGAGGTCATCTATGAATAAAAGACCTCCTAGAGGTCATCTATGAATAGAAAATCTCCTAGAGGTCGTGCATGAATACAAAACCTCTAGAGGTTATTTATGAATAGAAAATTTTCTTGAGGTTATCTAGGAATAGAAGAGTACCCAGAGGTCATATATGAATTGTAGACCTCCTTGATGTCATCTAATAACTGAAGACTTCCTTGAGGTCATCTATGAAGAAAATACCTCCTAGAGGTAATATATGAATAAAAGACCTACAAGAGGTCATCTATGTATAGAAGACCTCCAAGAGGTCATCTATGTATATAAGTCCTCCAAGAGGTTATATATGTATATAAGTCCTCCAAGAGGTCATATATGTATATAAGACCTCCTGGAAATCATCTATGTATAGAAGACCTCCTGGAGGTCATCTATGTATAGAAGACCTCCTGGAGGTCATCTATGTATAGAAGACCTCCTGGAGGTCATCTATGTATAGAAGACCTCCTGGAGGTCATCTATGTATAGAAGACCTCCTGGAGGTCATCTATGTATAGAAGACCTCCTGGAGGTCATCTATGTATAGAAGACCTCCTGGAGGTCATCTATGTATAGAAGACCTCCTGGAGGTCATCTATGTATAGAAGACCTCCTGGAGATCATCTATGTATAGAAGACCTCCTGGAGGTCATCTATGTATAGAAGACCTCCTGGAGGTCATATATGTATAGAAGACCTCCTGGAGGTCATCTATGAATAGAAGACCTCCAAGAGGTCATCTATGAATAGAAGACCTGCTTGAGGTCATCTATGTAGTCCTTTTAGAGGTCACCTATGAATAAAAGACCTACTGGAAGTCCCCTGTGAAGTCACCTATATATAAAAGACCTCCTGGAAGTCCTCTTAGAGGTCGCCTGTGAATAAAAGAACTCCTTGAGATCATCAATGATAAAAATCGTCCTAGAGATTGTGCATTAATAAAAGTCCTCCTTGAAGTCTTCTAGGGATAAAAGACTTCCAACAGTTCAGGTTCGTAAATTGAAGACCGGTTATCTAGCGACAGAATACTTATACAGTCCTTCTAGTAATAGAATATGTGCTGCAGGTATTTTTGGGTATAGAAAGGCCCCTACATGTCTTTTAGTGATACAGGGCCTTATACAAGTCTACCGTTGTTAGAAGACCTTGTTCTAGGGATTAGAAACTACCTAGAGATTTTCAATGTATAGAAGACTTGTTATATACCTAACAATTTCTTTCAAGTTATTCTGTAGTGGGAGGACTAATTCTAGATCGTAAAAAATAAGCAGTCCTTTCCAAAGAAGTTCTTCAGCTGTTCGACTTTTTCAACGTTTCCGGAGTCCTTTTATAGTGGGAGGACTAACTCTAGATCGTAAAACTAAGGAGTCCTTTCCAAAGACGTTCTTCAGCATTTCGACTTTTCAAAACGTTTTACAAATCTTCTATAAATTCTATAGCGGGAAGACTAATTGTAGATCTTAAAAAAAACTAGGAGTCCTTTCCAAAGAAGTTCTTCAGCTGTTCGACTTTTCAAAAGGTTTCGAAGTCCTTCTATAGTGGGAGGATTAATTCTAGATCGTAAGGCTAAGGAGACTTCTACAGGAAAGTTCCTTCCTTGAACCTTTCCAGCACCTTTACAGTTTAAAAACTTCTTCCAGGGCTTTTATGGCCTCCAGAATTTTTCCTATAGTTTTTTTGAGAATCATTCTGAAGCCTATAAAAGAATTGGAAATTGGATAAATGTTTTCATATCCTTTTTTAATACTTCACTGATAAAGAAAAAGTCGCCAACCGAACTCCCAGCCCTGGTTTTATATAATATTTTTGAAATATACGCTTCAGTCTTTTTTTAATATTTTTTTATTTTTTTATTTTTAAATAAAATGTCCTTAAAAAAAAAACATTCTGTGAATTTCCGTTTGTAATATCTATTTCTCTTTTTTATGTTCTCTCGATGTTGTGACGTACCGTTCGTGTATTGATTGATGTTGATTGGATGCATGTTTGGCATTTAAAATTAAAAACCAAAAAAAAAAAAAACAAAATTCTTAAAGACCAAAAAATAAATGTTACTTTTTTCTCTCGCCAACGAAAAAAAAACGAGACTAAAATGAAATTGCACGAAATTTATGTGTGTATGTCAGTGTTGTTTAATTTTCATTTTTTTTAATTTATTTTGTAATTTTTTTTATAGTTTTTATGATTTTTTTTTTAAATTTAATTTTCGTGTTTTAATTTTTAACAAATTTTTTTCTGTTGAAATTTCCTTAACAATTTTACAAACTTTTTAAAAAAAATGACCAACTAATAAGTGTTTTTCTCTTTTCCCTCCCCCTCTTTTTGTTGTTTTTTGAAAACAAACCCCTTTGGGTAAAAAACACTGAAAATCCTCCCTTGATTCCCATGCTGCCGAAATCGTATCTACCATCCCGATGTCGATGATGATGTTGATGATGATTGATTAACACAGGACTTTACATTGGATTTTTACTTCCGTCAATTTTGGACCGATCCTCGTTTAGCGTATAGAAAACGACCTGGTGTAGAAACACTATCGGTTGGATCAGAGTTCATTAAAAACATTTGGGTACCTGACACCTTTTTCGTAAATGAAAAACAATCATATTTTCATATTGCAACAACCAGTAACGAATTCATACGTGTACATCACTCTGGATCGATAACAAGAAGTATTAGGTAAAACCAACAACAAAAACAACAAAAAACAAAAACAAACCACCAAAAAAACAACAGCAATCATGAACTTGAACAGAAATAAATAAAAACCCATACCCCCTAAAAATAGACCCCCTAAAACCCTGCCCCGAAAAAAAAAAATAATATAACCTCCCCCCAAAAAAACTCCAAAAACCAATACTTTGGTAACCAAAAAAACCAAAGCCTAAACGAAATCAACAATATTTGAATGAATGTCGTATTAAAAAAAAAAACTAAACATTTGCTAACATGTAAAATTATTTGTCTACCTACTACTTGTTAATGACTGTCTTTCTGTCCAAAACAAAAAAAGTTAAAAAAAGTATAATTTTTATTTTTGTTTAACCATTATGCGTCTTTCATCTATCCATTTATTCCATTTTCATAATTTCTGTTTTTGGCTCATGTATCATATTTCCAATTTATTCGATTGCTCTGTCTATCTCTTTCGATCTGTCTGTCTCTCTCTCTCTGTCAAATTTTTCTCTTAACGTTTCTATATATATTTGTGTGTGTATGCGCAATTTGATTTTGTTGTAAAGAAGTATTATTTTCTAAAAATTAAAAAAAAAAAAAAAAAATATTGATGTTGTTGTCTGTTCGAATATCTTTTGAAAATTTAATTCATATGCCTTCACATCATCTGTGGATCGACAGTTGTCGATCTGTATTTATATACCCAAAAACTTAAAAATCTAATTTCACCTAAGAAAAAATAGTATTTAGGAAATCCAAGATGTTTTCGAACAAAATTTGCGATTATTCTCCCGATACTGCTTGAAAAAAAAATATTTTTTCAAATATACTATTATTTTAACGATAACCTCGAAAAAATGTTTTTTACAAAATCAACGAATGTTCTAAGGGTTCTAAGAACATATATAAAAAACATACAACTATTACCCTGATCGAGAAAAATTTTTGAAAAGGAATCCACATTTATGTCGCTTTAAAGTGTTGAAAAATATTATTCAGGCTGTCCGCGATAGTCTCTTTAAAAAATCCATGATTTTAGCATTGAAATTTAAAAATCCTCTTTTTTAACCTTTCCTTAAAAAGCCGCAATTTTAACCTTTAAAAATCCAAGATTTTGGTCTTGGTGAACTTGGAAACAATCTTTAAAAAAAAGAAAAAAACCTCCCTTAAAAAAAAACTTTTTGGCTTCCATTGTCCTTGGAATTTTTTTCTTTGCCGTTGTAAGGACTACCGATTCTTGAAAAAAATATATGTTTTAAATATTTTGGATTTTAACTTTGAAAAACTATTTTTTAAATTAAAAAAAAATATTTTTTTGATGCTGAAAAAATTATTAAAAAAAATCCTGCTGAGATTCATAATTTACAAAAATACACAATTTAATTTCTGTGGGCCATTGGAAAATAATTTTCAAAAAATTTACTACTACCTTGACGGTTATTGCAAAAATATATTCCTTAAAAAATTAACATTTTTAGCCCTGATGATCCTTATTTTTTTAATAAACAAATTTTCACTCGATGGTAGTTGAAAATATATGTTTTAAAAATCTGCCTTACTAGGCTTGAAAATGCAACTTTTTAGTTTTTAGGGTCCTTTAGGATTATGGCTTTAACGGTCCTTAAAAATATAATCAAAAAATTCACAATTTCCGTACCATTAAATTTCTTAAAAAAATATTCCCATAAAATACCACAATTTTAGACTGGATGATCGTCGAAAATAAATACTTTAAAAAATCCTTGATTTTGATTTTTGATCTTCAAAAATCAACAATTATAACCCTAAGAGTCCTTGAAAAAAAATCGCAATTTCAATACTATCAAAGTTCTTGAAAAAATATTAAAAAAAATATTTTAGCCCTGATGATCGTTGAAAATAGATTCTTTAAAAAATTCTTGATCATCCATGAAATAATATTCTTTAAAAAATCCTAATCATTGTAAGACAATATTTAAAAACACTCTTCAAAAAATCTACATTTAATAGTCCTTTAAAAATACTTTATTAAAATCCTTCAATATGTCCTTTAAATAAACTCTTTCTAAAATAAACACTAATCCCTGACAATTTTTACTTCAAAAATCCATGTCCTTGAATTTTTTTTTTTCTAAGAAACATTGAATTCCTTGATTTTTTTTTTTTTTTTTTTTTTTTTGTAGAAAATACAAAGTCCCTAAAATTTTCGTTTTAGGAAAATACTAAGTTCTTGAACATTTTTTTAACTAAGATCCATATCCTTGTTTTTTTTAATCCACTTTCTCAAAAATTATTCCCACGTTCTTGAAGAAATATTTAAAAAAAAATTATATCCTTGAAAAATTTAAGTTCTGGAAGATTTTTTTCAGAAAGTCTATGTCTTAGAATTTGTTTATAAAAAATCCACGTACTTTAAAATTTTTTTCACGTCCTTGAAAAAATATTCTTAGGAAAATGTCCATCCTTGACATTTTTATTTTAGGAAAATCCCAGTGCTTAAAAAAATGCTCTCAGAAAAATCAATGTCCTTAAAATTTTATTCTGAGAAGAATCCACGTCCTTGAAATTTTTTTCTAAGAAGAATCAGCGTCCTTGAAATTTCTTTCTGAGAAGAATCAACGTCCTTGAAATTTCATTCTGAGAAGAAAGAATTCTCAGAATTATCTAGGTCCTTGAAATTTCTTTCTGAGAAGAATTCACGCCCTTGAACTTTCTTTTTAAGTAGAACCCACATTCTTGAATTTTCTTTCTTAGAAAAAGCCACGTCCTTCAAATTTCTTTCTTAAATTAATCCTTAAAAAATATTCTTCAAAAAATCCAGAAAAAAAAATCCGGTCTTTCAAAATACCGTCTTAAAAATAATTTTTTAGAAACATTCAGGTCTTTGAGAATGATTTCTTAGAAAAATACTTGTATCTCAATTTCCTTTTGAAGAAAAATCCACGTCAATGCATCCACTTCATAAAAAAATATATAAAAAATCAAAATGTATAAAGTGAATTTAAATGAAACCCATTCACTTAAAAAAATGGAAATGCACTTCCGTGAAAATTGTTTCCAAAAATGTTTGGTCCTGAAAATTAGCGTAAAAAATTGGCGTTTTTGAAAAAAAAATCTCTTTAAATCTACGCTCCTGAAAGAATTTCAAAAAAATATTTTTCCTTCAAAAAATATTTTTACAAAACCCAAATCCTTTAAAATGTTAAAAGAAATACTAACTTAAAAAAATATTATATCCACATTACAGTTACTTTTAAAAATCCATGTAATCCCAAAAATTCAACGTCCTTGTATGAACGTATTTAGGAAATATTTTTAATTTAAGCCCCAGGTCTCTTAAAAAATATTAAAAAAAAAAAAATCTTCGCTCCTGAAAAAATATTAAGAAGTATTTTTACAAAATCCAAGTCCTTGCAAAAAGTTAAAATAAATACTTTCTTCAAAAACTATTAAAAATACCACGTCCTTAAAAATTTATTTTTGGTATATATGAAGAATCCAGCCTCTTTTAAAAAATACATTTTTACAAAAATCCACGCTCTTGAAAAAATAGTCATAAAAATATTTTTAATAGTCTTCAAAAAATATTTTTACAAAAATCCAAGTCGTGCATTAAGTTCACATTAAAAGTACTCCTTGAATAATTATCTTACAAATCCATGTTTAAAATTTTTTTTATAAAAACACATCGCAAAAATGTACTCTGTAAAATAATACAAAATTATACTTCTTAAAAAAATTTTATCAAAAAAATTTCAAATCTTTTAAAAAATCCACATCCTAAAAATCTAAAAATATAATAAAATAATATTCACGTCAAATCCAAATTTTTGGAAAAACATCGTCCATAAGAAATATCTCCTTATATACTCCCCATTTGTGGGTATATTGATCCCTGAACATTATTCATAAAAATCATAAAAATCAATATATGTGGACCCATTGATCCTTCAAAACATAGCCTTAAAAATGTATTTATTTCTTTCCCATTATTCTCCAATAAGTTTTTGGGTATATACACACATACATATACAAATATTCTAAAATTTTTGCACTGCATCATCTCATTTAGTATTCTCATAGATTCCTTATGCCATATATATTTAGAAATCCAAAAAAAAAAAAAACATCTTCCCCATTACATACCACATCACACCACTACAAATGAAAGAAAAAGTGAGTTCAATTGGCTTTATTTTATGTTCGTTATGATCACAGCTAAATGTCTACTATTTGAACGAAAATAGACCTCCTCTACATTATTAAAAAAATCAGAAAAATAAAACGATACAGTAAGTCTCCAACAAGAACAAATTATAACTCGACTATCCAATTAGAAATGTTAACCACCACCACCCCCAGCCATAGAAGGCCTCCCACGTTCCACGTCGTTGACATTTGAATCGAAGCATGTTCATATCAGAAAAAAATCAAAAACAAAACGAAATAGTTATATATACCTCTCTATCTATCGTTTCCCCAAAACTAAAAGAAAAAAAAAAACAAGTTAACGCTACAACACCATTTTCATAGCAAAGAACTACTACCAAATACTACTATTACAAAAATATAACAAAATAAATTATAGGAAAAATATGTTCGAAACAATAACAAAATGAAAAAAAAAACACATGTAATGCCATTCTGTGTTTTTACTACACCGCAAAAAGGTTTGCTCAATGGAGAAATTTCGTTGGTGAAATTTCTTCGATTTGTAAATTTTTCTACTACCTTAAAACAAGAATCTGTCCAAAAACCAAACTCCGAACAGCTACGCAAGAAATTCATGGAGCCATGGATTTAGTCGAAAATCGAAACAAATACTAAAATCGAAACCATGCGTAAGTTCTTGCTCTCTACGTAAATGTAAGTACCCATAACTAAAATACAAACGAATTTCAGCTACTCCATAAAACTATGAAAAATTTTTTCCACGACAAAAATATCAAATTCAACCCGCTGAGAGAATAAACAAGACAAGTATCGTTAGACCAAATCAAACGAAAAACAAAAAATATTGCAACGTTATTTTTTTCCTTTACTAAGTGCAATAACAAAAACAACAAAGGCTTCATGAGTAGTTTTTTTTTTTCAATATTTTTTTTTTCAATACTATTTCCAAACCACTCTTTGATAATGAATTTGTCAGAGTTTTGTATTTGTATTTTATTTATTCATTTACTTTATTATTCATATCACCAATTGAACTCGCTGAATACTCGTTACATTTACTACTCTTCAAAACTTTCTTTACTCTCTTTCTCTGTCCGTCTCTCTCTACATATATAAATATAAATAAATGTATATTTTTTTCTCTTTATAAATTTAAAACATATAAATATATAAAATAATATGTACATATCTATGTGTCTAAATAACAACTGTTCTGTGTTTGTGTGGCTCACCATGAGAGTTGGATCTCTCTCTATCTCTCTCTCCATATGGTGGTGATGCCTGCTCCATTCACTTTTGGTAACTGTTAAAACAGTTTCCCCAACACCATTACACATAAAAATGCTTTTGATGTTGTAGCCACATACCATAACACACACTCTCTGATTTGTAAACAAAATTCTCTCTCTCTCTCAATTACAGGGTTTTATAATTGCTCAATTGTACTCTTTATTAACTAATCCTTATTTTCCATACATTTTCCTTTCTTCCCCCGTGAAATTTTTCTCTCGGCATCTAGATTAACAATTACAGCATCCTGCCCCATGAATCTACAGTACTTCCCCATGGATCGTCAATTGTGTCACATTGAAATTGAAAGCTGTAAGTACATAATTTTAATATTATTGTTTTGCAATATTCTTATATTTATTAAATATATATACATAACTATATACTCACCCAAAAAAAAAGAGTAAACAAAACCTACTCTAATAACCCCCGCCCCCCTTTCACCCACATAAATTGTATAGAATATTATTTATGAAAATATATACATATCTGTACAGATTAAATTAGTTTTAAGTAAGCAAGTACAAAAACAAAAAAATAACAACACTTAATAATTAAGACATTTTTTATATCTATATATATACATACATATATTTATGAAAATAATTAAAAAAAAAAACACCTCATTCAGAATATTTTTTTAACAAAATGGGTCTCATAGCATTGAAAGAGGAAGGTCCATATGAAAAAAATGTTTTAAGAAATAAAAATAAGAGAAAATAAAAGAAAAAAATATTTGATATTGACATCAAATTTTAGATCTACAAAACGTTTTAGAAAAAAAATAACCACAAAAGAATTAAAAAAGGTAATCGGAAATATTTGAAAAAATTAACATCATTTGACAAAATATTTTTTATTAATATAAGATTTATAAAAATTTGAAAAATAAATATTTGACATATTTATAGACCTTAAATGGTAGTTTTAAATATCTGTAAATTCTGATAGACCTTGAACTAAAAATTTCTAAAAATCGAATTATTCTCCAAATATTATTTTCAAAAAAAAAAATAAATAAAAAATAATAATAAAAAATTCATAAAAAATTAAGTGCAATATTTGACAAATATTTTGAGATAATATTTTCCATATACATATGTACGACTATGGAAGCCATCGAATATATTTTTTTAAACATTTACAATTTTGGGTAAAATATTTTTAATTATTTTATATGGCCGTATGAAATTATATACGTCATCTGTAGCCATATATAAAATCGTAAAAAAGATATTTTAAAGAAATCTCTTGAGAACAGATTTTAAAATAATTTGTTTTTGTTTTTAGTTCACGACTTATTACAGTCTTGAACGTTTCTCTCACATCTCAAGAAAAATACTTTTCAATAATCCACTACTTTTTATGGTCTTGAGATTTTTTTTCAATCTGGAAAAAAGTTAAAGAGTACCAATTGGTTTTGCCGGCAGATATATAACCTTAACCAATGTTCGATTTGATTTAAATACATTTTGACTTCTGTTATGATCATGGAGTTGATTCCGAAGAAATGGGCCAATATTCTCCATTTCGTATCGAACCTAAATAAATATAATATAAATATTGCGGCGTGCCAGGTTTGGCCTATATCTACCACTTCCATCACTTTATGTCAGATATGAACAACTTTTCAGAAAATGTTAAAATGTGCCTGAGGTATCAGATAAAGTCGACCGAAGTATTCCATGTTCATACTTCATCCAATACAGAAAGATATATTAGTATTGGAAAAATTACAAGAAAATCGAACACTTATATTCAATTTTATGCGAAATCATAAACTTCACAATCACGTCAGGTTTCTGGTTGAGGGATTTCTCAAAATCTTGAACCCTATAGGGGGGAGGTAGCTAAAGAAATGGTCCGATCTCTACCACCTTTATAACAGATCTTGTGTTGATGGAAATATTGAGATGTGCAAAGTCAGAATAAAATCGGATGTTAATTTCACGTTTTATTAGCTTCGTGGATAATCAAAATTTAGACCCTTTGTGGGGGAGATACCAGAAGCAGTGGGCCGATATTATCCATCTCCCCAACAGATCTTGTGTCAGTAGAAATAATGAAATGTGAGAAATATGAAGAGAACCGGGTTCTTATTTCGAATTTTATAAACGTTTTGTCCATTCAAAACTTTGGCCCTTTGTGGGGGAGGTGACGGAAAAAATGGTTCGATCTCTGCCGTCTTTATAAGAGATCTTTTGTTACTGGAAATATCGAAATCTGCCAATTCTGAACGGAATCGGATGTTAATTTCTCGCTTTATGAGCTTCTAGAATATTCAAAATGTTGCCCCTTTAGGGGGGAGGTACCAGAAGAAGTGGGCCGAAATATTTCATCTTCACACCAGACCTTTGCATAATAAAAATATTATGATGTATGCAATTTGAAGACAACCGGTTTCTTATATCATATTTTATAAGATTTATAATTTTTCAAAATTTTAACCCTTTGTGTAGGAGGCACTTGATGGAGTTGACCGATATTGCCCATTTTCGCACCTGACCTAGCGCTGATGCAAATATTAGGATTTACAAAGTTTGAGCCAAATCGAATTATACCATCACTTTCTGTGTAGTAAAATATTTACCAATATTGCCCATCTCATCTACCAAGTTTGGACCAAATCGGACACTCCCTTCGAGAGTTATCGTGCGCACAAGCCAGACAGACGGACGGACATCGGAAGATCTACTCCAACTGTCCCAAAACGGATTTGGTACAAATTAACCTAGGGTCTAAAACCGACACAAAATGACATATTCCCTCCCTAGTCATTTGGCTGAGGGTATAAAAATGATAAAACCAGCCCTATTTGTCTTTGAAAGTAAATCGTTTGGAGTTCTTCGAAAACAATTAAATCAACGTGTGTTGGTCCTGGAAAAAAAGATATTTTTCCAAAAAAAAATAACATTTTTTGGTCCTTCAAAAAAATGTTTGGTCTTAAATCCAATTTTGTTTTTTCCCTTAATTTTTTTTTACATCCACGTTATCTGGTCCTTAAAGAAATATTTTTTTAATCCACGTTTGATGGTCCTTAAAAACTATTTTTTACTAAATTCGTGCTTGTTGGCCCTTGAAACAAAATCCACGTTTGTTGGTCTTTGAAACTTATTAAAAAAATAAAATACTCAATTTTTGGTGGTCTTTGGAAAAATATATTTTTTTTAACACCACGCTTGTTGTTGTGTTTGTTGGTCCTCAAAAAAAATATATATTTTTTTTAAATCCAGGCTTGTAGGTCCTTGAAATATTTGATTTAAAAGCCACGTTTGTTAGTCCTTAAAAAAATATTTTTGTAAATCAACGTTTGTTGGTCCTTGAAAAAAATATTTTATTTAACAACCACGTTTGTTGGTCCTTAAAAAATATATATTTTTTTTTTTAATCCAGGCTTATAGGTCCTTGAAAAAATATTTTATTTAAAAACCACATTTGTTGGTCCTTCAAAAAAATATTTTTTAAAAACCACGTTCGTTGGTGCTTGAAAAAAATATATTTTTTTTAAGTCTACGTTTGTTGGTCCTTGCAAAAAATATTTTTTTACAAAATCCAGGTTTGTAGGTTCTTGACAAAAAAAATTAAAATTAAACGAACATTTGTAGGTCCTTGAAAAAAATATTTTTTAAAAATCGTAGTTTGTTGGTCCTTGAAAGAAATTTATTTTTTAAATCTACGTTTGTAGGTTCTTGAAAAAAATATTTTTTTTAAATCCAAGTTTGTTGTTTCCTGAAAAAATTCTCATTTAAAAAAATCCACATTTGATAGACACCTTTGTTGACTCCTTTAAGTTTGAAATTGCCGACCAAATTATTTATCGTATTATTATCAGCAATATTGCCTAAACAAGTTTATACCTAAAATACACCGATTTCAAGGAATCTTAATCCGAAAAATTTTAAAAGTTTTAAAGAGAGGGGTATTTAAATAATCTAACTTTGGCCGAGGTTACACACCTGAAGACAAACCGACTGATTCTTTTTAAATTGTTAAAATTTAGGTTTAATTTATGTATATAATTTGCATATAGATAAAACATTTTGTAATATTTTTTTAATATTTCAAAACAAATATTAAAAAAAAAATTGATTAAAAAAATACTTTTAACATAATCAACTATTACGTCTCGAATATTCGAATAAAAAATCCCTACGATTTAGAACATTTCATAAATATTTGTATACAAATTGGACATCGGAAAATTATTCCGATTTTGATTTTAAGAAATTATTTTTTTGAAAAAACAAACTAAAACTTGATGTCAATTTTAATAATTATTCAATAATAAAAATATAAAAAAACTTAAGCAGAAACCCATAAGACCTCCCTTTCTATGCTATGATCGACCTAATTATATTATTATAAATTATTATAAAAAACGCGCTGTTTGTTCGTTAAATGAGTTACTCTAAACCAAAAAAAAAAAAAAAAAAAAAAAAAAAAAACAATTATGACTTTAGCAAAACAACCCTCCAAAAATGGAGGCCATATTAATCCAGTTTCTTGGAAATAACTTAAAAAAATAATAGCTAATTATAAACCTAACAACAGCTTTTTTCTAACCTGGCACTTTATATACATACATATATATATTCATATTTTTTTAACTTAAAAAAATATATATAAAATCCACTGCTTTTTTACAAAATGAAAAAAAATGATGAACGACGACAATCAAAAGCTATTAGACCATGTAAAATAGATAAAAAAAATACTCAAAAAAAACAAAAGTTTAGGACCGAAATTATTGACTAGCAAATGTGTATAGGAAGTTGTAAAACAGAAGTCTTTAGTTTTCTTTTTCTGATTCTTTCTTTTGTTTTTTGATTAAACACACACACATATTTGATTTTGAACGCCCGAATATTAAGAAAACACCAAAGAAAAAAATATTACACCCACACTCAAACCCTGTTCCACAGAATACAAAACCCCACAACCGTTTTCCCCCCAAAAAACAAATACAAACAAAAACATAAGTATTCAAATGAAATTAAGTTTTTTTTTTTTTTGGAAGACCACCACCTACGTCAAACCCCAAACCACAAGAAAGGTGATGGTTCCATAATTGATTATTACGAATTGGTTCAATTACCCACACCAACCTGTCATTATGTTCATTAACCTACATTTTGTGTTTCAAAGTTTGCATCGGGTTTGAAACATACCACCCCACCCCTCAAAAAAGAAAAAAAACTAAACTAAACATAACATAAAGTCAGCACTAAATCGTCCACTCAAAATGCATTAGCAGGGACTGGGAACCGAACAACATAAATCTAATTCGAAAAAAATAAACAAAAATCGAAAAA